CCTTTCTGAAAGAGGCAGAATTTGTTTTCTCAGGCACGTCAGGAACAGAGTCATGAAAATTTGCGACTGGGACTGGGTAACACTCCGTTAGTCCCATCGATGGGAGGAGGGGAGGTACAATTGCCCCAGGCCGAGGGATTCCTGTGGGAGCAGCAGTGACTGAGAACCTTAGGCCCTTTAAATAGCCACTGGAGCGCCATGCAGTGCACTCTGGGTGGTGATCGCATGTGGCTACCGGGTGGAGGAGGCAGTATGGCGTGCTGCGGGATATTGTGTCCACCTCTGGGCACCACGTTCTGACGGATTTATAAGGCCCTCTTGGCAAAGGCCTGGCTGGAATGGGTTAGCTAGGGCTAGGCCAGGTTTAGGGAAGATGTTGGACAGGATAACCACCAGACAATGGAGCAAAAAGCCTCTCTGTGCCCCAGAGCATCATGGGGGATGGGTCCATGGTCCATGCTCCTGGAAGGGGTGGAGCTGAAGTCAAAGGGGGCAGGGTAGGGATTTCACCACATCCTAGATACCCCGTGTTACTGTCATCCTCCCTGGCAGTGAGACGGCTTCTCCTCACAGCTCGCCTCACTCCCCCTCCCCAGATCCTTTCCTCTGTGAGGAGCCCTGGCCCTGTCCGAGACAGCAGAGAGAGCAAACGGCAGGCGCTGAGCTCAGGTGACAGGGCATTGTAGGGGGGCTGCCACATGAAACCCCTGCAGCAGAGGGACAGGCAGGCAAACCTGCCCCCTAGAGACGTGCCAGCCACTAGAGGAATGAGCCCTAAGGGGAATGCTTTGTGGGGACCAGTAAGGCTAAGAGGTGCAGTTACCCTGAAAGGAACCTGGAACGGTGGGTCACTTTCCTTTCATTCACTGAATCGTAGGCTTAGGATGGACTCCAGGGTCTGATTGTCTCAGCCCATCATTGGCAGAGAGATGCTGGGGCAGGTTTGAACCAGGGATTGGTTTCATACCCGAGGTCCCCTCACAGATCACATCCTAGTGCCAGACCCAGCTCCTGGCTACCACCCAGCTTGAGTGTGGAATGGGAAGAGTTCTGTGCAGCTCCCAGCTTCCAACTATCAGACCGGGAGTTTGTTTATAAGCAGAAGCAGAAGGTTTATGGTAACAAAATAAATTAAACTAAGGATCCGTAATGATCCCGAAAGCAAAGGCAGGCAGGCCAGTTAAACAACAGGAAACAAAAGGTAGGAACAAATGCCTAGCATTCAGAATGGAGAGAGGTAACTACTGCGGTCCCCGGGCATCCGTCCGACCCTCAGTGCTGTAAAATATATTAATAAATGATGAGCAAAATAAGGTAAACAGTGAGGTGGCAAAATTGACTGACTGCTGACTGCAAAATGGCAGGTATAATTCAATGCTGAGAAATTTCCATTAATGCCCATTGCAAAGTATAACACCAACTATATTTAATACATGATAGGGTCTAAATTAGCTATTAACTCACAAAAAAGAGATCTTGGAGTCATTGTGGATAATTCTTTGAGAAGATCTGCTCAATATACAGAGGAAATCACAACCACTAACAGAATATGGGGAATCATTAGAAAAAGGACAGGTGATAAGACAGAAAATATCATAGCAGCGCCATACAAAAATTCATGGTATGCCAATCTACCGAATACTATGTGCAAATTTGATCACCCCGTCCCCAAAACTATATCTTGGATTTGGAAAAAGTACAGAGAAGGGCAGCAGAAATGATTGTGGCAAGAGAAAAACTTGTGTAGGTGGAGAGATTGAAACACCGGAACTTTTCAGATTCCAAATAAATAAATAAGTTCCAGTGAGAATATCACTGGGGTACAGAAACTCATGCACGGTTTTGAAAAACCGGAATAAGGAAATGTCTTATACTCGTTGCCATAACAGGAGAACTAGCGGTCATCCCATGAAATAAATGGGCAGATGCTTTTAAACAAAACGTATTTTGTCATGGTCAGGCTCTTGAATTTTTGTGAAGGGATGTGGTGAAGACCAAAATTATAACAGGTCTCCAGTAAGAACCACAGACGTCCATAGAGGACAGGTCCACCAATGGGTATTACCTAGGGCAGTAAGGAATCCAACACCATGTCTTGGATATCCTTGGCCTCCAATTGCCAGAGGCTGGGAGCGTGGCACAGGGAATGAATCACTTGACAATGATTCCATTCGTACACTTGGAAGTACGCGAGACTGGCCATTGTCAGCAGATTGGACGCTGGGCTAGATGTGTGAGAGGGGGCAGGAAGGCCCCACATTCATGGCCCCTCCCCCCCAGACAGAGAAGCACAGCCAAGAGGCGGGAGTGGGAGGCCACCAAGCACCATGGTGGGATAGGGGCTGCAGAGCTCCCCAAGCCTGACCCAGTCACGGGAGGCTGTAGAACGCCGGGAGGTGGAGGCCGGGACTGGCGGAGGCACCAGCACAGCCAGCTCCACAGGGGTTGCCAGCCAACCGTACGCTTCCCCAGCTGGTAGAGGGCAGCTCAGCTCGAGCGGGGACAGAGTGAGATTGGGCCGGGACAGAAGACCCGGATGTAAATATGGGCACACTAAGGTCAGAAGGGGGGAGCACAGAGGAGACAGAGGGCAAGGACGGCGGTTCGAACGGGGCAAAGAGGGAGCCGGAGGGAGGAAGAGTTAGGGGTGAAGGATCTACAGAGGAAAGGACATGGTAGTTTGAGGATGCCGTGAGGGAAACCGGAGAAGGACGGAAGATCCGATGAGAGGGAAGGGAGAAGAAGAGACTTAGAGCACGCTAGGGATGTAAGCCCGCAGACTGGCACGTTAAGAGCAATGCCCCGTCAGTCATGTCCAGGGGGTGAAAATCTACCCCTTGACCGTAGGGCCCTAGGTCGGGACTCAGAGAGAGGGCAGGCCCAAGTCCCCCTATACTCCCTCTCGTTTCTACTTATCGCCCAACCAATCGGGTTTTGATACCCTCAAGCTGTGTCTAGACTGCATCCCTTTTCCGTAAAAGGGATGCAGATTAGACACATTGCAATTGCAAATGAAGCGGGGATTTAAATCCCCCCCGCTTCATTTGCATGAACACGGATCTTTCGGAAAATAAAGCCTTTTCTGAAAGATCCCTTATTCCTCTTTAAAATAGGAATAACAGATCTTTTGGAAAAGGCTTTATTTTCCAAAAGATCCCCGTCTAGACTGGTGCTTTTTTCCGGCAAAGCTCCAAGCCGGAAAAAAGCGGCAGCCATGTTTATGCAAATGAAGCGAGGGGGATTTAAATCCCCGCTTCATTTGCAATTGCGATGTGTCTAATTTGCATCCCTTTTACAGAAAAGGGATACAGTCTAGACACAGCCTCAGTGGCCAATGTTCAGGCAAGCAAGGCCCGGCAGGGGAAGTAGCTCGAGAACTGAGCCAGCAAATACATTACAATGAGACATTGCTCTTTCCCAGAATGGCCATTTTGATGTTCTCATACAGAGGCCAAAAGTATCTGCCCTTCTCCTGTAACCCAAGGGTATGTCTAGACTACAGGCTTTTGTCGACAGAAGTTTTGTCGACAGATACTGTCGACAAAACTTCTGTCGACAAAGAGCGTCTACACTACATTCAGTTCTGTCGACAAAGCAAGCTGCTTTGTCGACATGGTAGTGTAGACGCAAAGGACAGTGTACATGCAATAACACCTTCTGTTGACAGAAACTCTGTCGACAGAAGGTGTTATGCCTCGTAAAATGAGGTTTACCAGCGTCGACAAAACTGCTGAGTTCTGTCGACGTTATGTCGACAGAACTCAGCGGTAGTATAGACGCAGGTATAGTTTTGTCGACAAAAGTCCACTTTTGTCGACAAAACTCTGTAGTCTAGACACACCCCAATAGACTCCACTCCCCTTCTCCCACCTCCGAGTTCAGATAGGAACCAGGAGTCTCTCCAGGGTCTCTCTGTGTGTGGAGATAGCAACAGAGGCAGAATATACAAGTGACTTATGAAAACATGCCAGAACATGTTCATAGTGGAGCTGAGTGGGTCAATACTTTATTGCTACGTCTACACTGGCATAATTTTCCGGAAATGTTTTTAACGGAAAAGTTTTCCGTTAAAAGCATTTTCGGAAAAGCACTTTTTGCGGAAAAGCGTCCGTGCCAATCTAGACGCACTTTTCCGCAAAAAAGCCCCGATTGCCATTTTCGCCATCGGGGCTTTTTTGCGGAAAACACTACTGTGCTGTCTACACTGGCCTTTTTGTGCAAAAGTCTTTCGGGAAAAGACTTTTGCCCGAACGGGAGCAGCATAGTATTTCCGCAAGAACACTGATGATCTTACATGAGATCGTCAGTGTTCTTGTGGAAATTCAAGCGGCCAGTGTAGACAGCTGGCAAGTTTTTCCGCAAAATCAGATGATTTTCCGGAAAAACTTGCCAGTCTAGACACCGTCTATTTGCATAGTGTAGGGGAGCCTGCATTACCTTGCCTTGCCTTGGCAATAAATGGTGATCAAAGCGTGGATTTCTGGCTGGTCACAAGTCTGGTGCACCAAAGCACACAGGCAGGCTGAGAGTCAGGAATTGTTTTGAATAACAATGCAGATTAAGCCTGGGACGCAAGTTCACATCAAGAACACAGGACAAGCGGCCTTATACTGTTGCTTTTGTTTCTGATAAGCAAAATGTACAGATGCAGCCATGAAACTGTCAACTGCACACATAGTTTAGGTAACATCCTGGTTAGGAAGATGTACCCCAATAGGGCATTGGGCATTTTACGTATCCTACACAATACGTAATCAATTGGTAAATATTATTAGAATGACTAAGTCTCACTTTGCTATAATTTGGATTTAGTAAGAACAATCGATGGGAGAGTGTTGGGGAAATCTTGCTCCCCTGGGGTAAAGAGTCCCCAGAAGGGTTCGAGGCTGGAGGTCAAAGCAGTGAGGCAGGAGAGAAATCTAGAAGGAAAACTTTATTATGCATGCATGCAGGCTGACCGCTACCTGAGTGAGAGCAGCAGCAGCCCTGAGAGACAGGTTCAGGGATCGTTTATACAGTATGTTCAGACAGTTTAGTTTGTGATTGTTTTCTTTAACATATCAAAGACTCAGCAGAAGTACTCTGAGTATGCTAGAAGTAAGTTTACAGTACAAAGGCACATGAGAACCTGAGTGAGGAGCCTACAAGGCAAACTGTGACAAAGATAAGAGTTTACATGACAATTTGTGACAGACTAGGAGTCTCCATGAAGTTGAGATAGGAGGCATTGTAAGGGTCTTGATTAGAGTTAAGATGATTTCTCTCTGTTACAGGGAGAGAGGCCTGGAAAACTTTTAACCAGTTTTCTTTTAGAGAGTTTTGATTTCCTGCTCAGTCCCCCCTTAGACACAATTGGAGTTAATTAATTGTTCTCCCACAAGAGAATGGACAGAATTAACCCACACGTCTTGCTCAATGTAACTAGAAGTAAATAGGCGACTCAGTACATGGCGTTCCATCTGTGGGAAGAAAAGGAACCACAACCTCCTGCTTGGTACAGTAGGTAGCATACAGGTGAAGTGTAAGCGAATTAGGCTTTATTATTGTATATAGTAGATCTTTTATTAATTGTTTTTGCATTGCTTTGCACTGTATTAATTGCTTTAGAATGTATAGGTATTTAAGATTAAATGGTATAGTAATTGTTTTTAAGGGTTGTAAAACTTAAACAACTGTATTAACTGCTTAAAGCTTGCAATGAATTAGAAGGTGGTTAAGTAGCCCTGGTGTGGATAAATCTCTGTAACATGTCCATATAACCATGTATCATTATCATATAACTTTGTCTTAAGAGATTTTATATCTACATATCTTGTTCTTTTAGATATATCTTTATGTTATGCTTTCTTATACAATCTGGCTGCGTCTAGCCTGGCATGATTTTGCGGAAATACTTTTAACAGAAAAGTTTTTCTGTTAAAAGTATTTCCGCAAAAGCGCGTCTAGATTGGCATGGACGCTTTTGTGCAAAAAGTGCTTTTGCGCAAGAGCATCCGTGGCTAGTCTAAATGCGATTTTGTGCAAGAAAGCCCTGATCGCCATTTTAGCCATCGGGGCTTTTTTGCGCAAAACAGTTCTTCCCTGTCTACACTGGCCCTCTTGTGCAAGTATTCTTGCGCAAGAGGGCTTTTTTCCGAGCGGGAGCGGGAGAGTATTTTTGCAAGAAGCACTGATTTTGTACATTACAAAGTCAGTGCTCTTGCGCAAATGCAAGCGGCCAGTGTAGACAGCTGGCAAGTTTTTGCGCAAAAGCACTGCTTTTGTGCAAAATCTTGCCAGTCTAGACACACCCTCCTTGTATTAAGAGAAACCTTGTATTCAGTCTTTTCCATAGAAACTTTGTGTCAAGCTCTTTATGCTATAGGTCATAGGAATAGTTAAGGTAAAGAAAATTGTCTTTTGTTAGGAATAGAAGGGATCTCTCCCCTTTCCTTGATTCCCTGTTGAAATGAATGAGGTGTGAATGGAGAATGAAAGGGGAGCACCTCCAGCAGCTGTTGAAAGGGTGAAGAGGGTCGGGGAGCCAGATTCGAGACAATACCTGTGAAGTGAGCTCATTAAGAAGACTGGACACACAGACGGCCTTGGGACTCCAGCAGCCAGTGCCTGCCTTGGAAGAACTCTTTGAAGCGGCTTTAAGCAAGGTGATGACTAATTGGCTGCATGAGAGGGATAAATCAGAGGCATCTTGCAGAGGGACCCCGGGTTTTTCATCTTGTCAACATGGGAGCATTGATCCGGATCGGCAGAAACCTGGCTCCACCCTTCCCTCATCTAACTCACCTGGCCAGTGTAGTTAGGGGGAGCAGCTATTAGTAACAACAAGACGGAGTGTGCTTGTGTGTGTGTGTGTGTGTTTGTGTGCATATCATGTGCATATGATAAAGTGTTGATTGATCTATGTATGTTCAATACATGTGGCCTGTTGCCTTATCCCCCTGAAAAAGATCCCGAGTGCTTCTTTTAAGCACAACACTGGAGTGTCCCATGGATCTAAAATAAATCGAACCACACAACATATAGGAATTAGATGCAGTGCTCCTGGTACCTAACTGCTAAGTTCATTGATTTAAAAAAAGAGTGCGAAGTAGGCCCTAGAATCATGGTTAAAATTGTCCCACATAGCAGCAAACCCAGAAATAGTACCCCTAAGTTTGATGTGGGTAGGGAGGTTAAAAGCAGGCAGCAAGAGACAGGAAGAAGGGAGGATTGTACTGAGCACCAGGGGAGGGACTTGGTAGAAGAGGTGAGCAAAGGGTGGCAGGGAAGGGGGGGAGAGTCCCCTTAAAAGCAAAGCAAAAGGTGGCAGCCTTAAGATTGTAGCTCAGTCTCAGAGCCAGAGCACCAGAACAAAAAACTTCAGGTCCCTTGATGAGTAAGGGGACGGAGCAGCCTGTCTCGGATCTGCCTGGTTCTCACCCCATAGATGACGGGGTTCAGCATGGGAGGCACCAGGAGATACACATTGGCAAAGAGAATGTGGAAATGGAGGGGCACATTCTGGCCAAAACGCTGTGTGAGGAAGGAGAAGAGAGCGGGGATGTAAAAGGCTAAGATGACACAGAGGTGGGAGCCACAGGTCCCAAAGGTTTTGAGCCGGGCGTCCTTGGTGGGGAGGATGAAGATGGCCCTGAGGATCTGAATATAGGACAGGGTGATGAGGAACACATCCACACCAATCACCAAGAAGGCCACAAAGAGGGCGTAGTAACTACTGATGCGGATGTCGGCGCAGGCCAGCTTCACCACGGCGATGTGCTCGCAGTACGTGTGGGGGATCATGTTGGTTCTGCAATACGGCCAGCGCCTTGCCAGGAAGGGATAGGGCACTATGAGCAGGCTGCCGCGCAGCACCACAGCCAGGCTGATCTTGCCCATCACAGGATTTGAGAGGATGGTGGAATGTCTCAGGGGAAGGCAGATGGCCACGTAGCGATCCAACGCCATGGCCACGAAGATCCCTGATTCCATCACCGAGAAACACTGAATGAAGTACAGCTGGGTGAGGCAGGCACTGAAATCGATTTCTCTGCAATTGAACCAGAAGATGCTCAGCATTTTGGGAATTGTTGTTGTTGTCAGGACCAGGTCGGTGACGGCCAGCATGCAGAGGAAATAGTACATGGGCACATGGAGGCTCGGCTCCATCTTCACAATGAAGAGGATGGTGAAGTTCCCCAAGATGGCTACAATGTACATGGTGCAGAAGGGGATGGAGATCCAGAGATGGGCGGCCTCCAAGCCAGGTACGCCCAGAAGGATGAAGATGGAGGGGTTGGTGAAGTCGGTTGTGTTGGAATCTGACATGGAGCAGGAGAGAAGGTGTCCAGCTCTAAAGCAGTAGGATTTCTTCTGCATGTACCTTACATTCTCCTGATGTCCTGTATGTGCCCGGGGTGTAGGGTGATGGCCAAGGTATAAACACCTAGATGGAGAGAGAACATTAGTATGAGACCCAACATGCACTACTGGAGGCTGTTCTCAAGGGTGTAAGAGACCAGTAGCTCTTCACATACAGAAAAAAAGTCCTCATTATTATTTTGAGAAAAAAGAATTATGAACAATGGACCCTAAAATGCCAATCTCATGTTTGACGGTGCTCGATGTGCCAGTAATTCCTTCATATCATGGTGTGGGAAACCTCAGTAGGGACCAATTGGAAATGTGAGTGTGGATCCTGGTTTTCCCTGCTTATCCCTGCGGATATGTCTACACTGCAGATTTTTTGAGGAAGAGGATATGCAAATGGCACGCTCGTATTTGCATATCTTCTTCCAGTACTTTTTGCAAAAGAGGTTTTTCTGATAAAAAGCCCTGTATAGATGGCGCCATTTGTTGGATAAACACCCTCTTTCACAAGACCCCTTATTCCTAAAAAATTTTGTAAAAACCTCTTACGCATATCTTCTTCCAGTTCTTTTTGCAGAAGAAGTTTTGCTGATAAAACGGCCAGGAACACCGAATAGGATGAAGGTGGAGGGGTTGGTGAAGTCGATTGGTGAGCGCTCCATTTGCATTTCCTCTTACGGAAGAGGCTTGTAGTGTAGACGGAGCCATAGTTTTTAAAAAGGTGATTTTATTAACAAAACAAAAAGACATACTTGGTGAAGCATACTTGCTTGCTCCGTGTTATAGAGCAGCTGATAAAAGCAGATTAAAGCCCAGAGTATTGCTTCCCTGGGATTCAGCTTTTAAGTATGTAAGAATATAACAGCCATACTGGGTCTTCTGACAGTGGCTAATGCCAGGTACCCCACAGGGAGTGAACAAAACAGATAATCATCAAATGATCCCTCCCCTGTCACCCATTCCCAGCCTCTGACAAACAGAGACTAGGGATACCATCCCTACCCATCCTGGCTAATAGCCATTGATGAAGCTAATCTCCATGAATTTATCTCTCTTTTTTGAACCTTGTTATAGTTCTTGTCTTCACAACATCCTCTGGCAAGGAGTTCCACAGGTTAACTGTGTGCTGCGTGATGAAGAACTTCCTTTTGTTTGTTTTAAATCTTTTGAGTATTACTTTTATTTGGTGAACCCAAGTTCTTGTTGTAATAAGTAAATAACTTTTCCTTGTTCACTTTTTCCACACCAGTCATGATTTTATGGACACTATCATATCCCCCCTTTGTCTCCTTTTTTCTAAGCTGAAAAGTTCCAGTCTTTTTAATCTTTCTTCATATGGGACCCGTTCCAAACTCCTAATTATTTTAGTTGCCCTTTTCTGAACCAGTATATCTTTTTTGAGATGAGGTGACCACATTTGTATGCAGTATTCAAAAAGTGGGTGTACCATGGTTTTATATAGATGTTCTCTGTCTTATTCTCTATCCCCATTTTAATGGTTCCTAACATTTGGTTTGTTTGTTTGACTGCTGCTGCACCCCAAGTGGATGTGTTCAGAGAACTCTCCAAAATGACTCTAAGTATGGGGGAGGAGGTACTTGGATTCAACATAGAAAAGTTTAACCAAACAACTAAACAAAGAAAATAACCTGATTGTGTCTAACTAAACATTCCCTATCACTTACAGACCCATATCTTCAAGGTCTAGTCCATTTCTTGGCATGAATATTCTTACCTGATTCAAGTCATGTTTGCTCCCCTCCAACTCCAAGTTTAAACCGATCCCCCAATAATAAAGCACACAGATTCCCTTTCATTTCATATCTCAACATTTTCTTACCGTGGGTTCTCCTGGCTCCCTACCAACACTTCCTGGATACCTGGCTTTAATCCTTTCATTACTGAATGCTGGGATGTTTGGAAAAGGACAGCACTCCTATCCATCACATGGTGAAAAAAAAAAGAGGTAACCTTGAGATTCCTAAAGAATGGGATGGAGAATAACCTGTTCTGGTCATGTGCTCCGTTTCGTTCACAGAGTCAATATCAAGGTTATAGCCGATGGAAAGCGGATCTCTAAGAAAAAGCTGTGAGAATCGGGGAGGCTGCCATGTGAGAGCAGACTGAAAAACCTGTGAATGTTTAGAACGTGTAGTTTAAAGAACTGATAAAGACAGGGGCATATGACAGAGGAGAGGAAAATAAAGAACGGAACTGACTCCCTGCAAATGGACAAAAGAGAAGAGTTTCTAACCACAAAAAACTGAAGATGCCCAATGATTCCAAAGGCTAATTGCTCCCAGCTGAGGAAGTGATCAGACAAAAAAAAATGACTGGGAGGAAAATGTGAGACAGAAAAAATCTGAATGAAAATTCAGAACTGTTTAGAATGATAGAATCATAGAATCCCAGGACGGGAGTCACTGAGTCCAGCTCTCTGCCCAAACCAAGACCAACCCCAACTCAATCATCCCAGCCAGGGCTTTGTCAAGCCAGGACTTAAAAACCTCTAGGGATGGAGATTCCACCACCACCCTAGGGAACCCATCCCAGCGCTTCCCCACTCACCTAGGGAAATAGTTTTTCCCAATATCCAACTTAGACCTTCCCCACTGTAACTTGAGCCCATTGCTCCTTGTTCTGCCATCTGCCACTATGGAACCTCCCTTCAGGAAGTTGAAGGCTGCTATCAAATCCCCCCTCTCTCTTCTCTTTATAAAGTCATTTAAGGTGACGTTATTAAGCATTTACTAAACACAGTAAAGAAAGTGGACAACTTTGGCTAAGAATCGGATTAGGAGACAGCAAGCAATGCAAGTGGGAAGATATGACAGTTGATAAGGTACTTTTAAGACATCATTGAAAATTCCATGTTTGCCAAGGCTAAGGATCACAGAAAGAAGGTGATTAAGTATGTTAAGATAAAAAAAAACCCAGTAAATTTTAAGCCAATTTCCAGATGGAGAAAGGAAACTTCAATGTTGCAGGAAAGTGAAATGCTTTCAAGACCTAGATTTATTTTGTATTTCATAGAATCATAGAATCATAGGACTGGAAGGGACCTCGAGAGGTCATCGAGTCCAGCCCCCCGCCCTCAAGGCAGGATCAAGCTCTGTCTACACCATCCCTGACAGATGTCTATCTAACCTGTTCTTAAATATCTCCAGAGAGGGAGATTCCACCACCTCCCTTGGCAATTTATTCCAATATTTGACCACCCTGACAGTTAGGAATTTTTTCCTAATGTCCAATCTAAACCTCCCCTGCTGCACTTTAAGCCCATTACTCCTTGTCCTGTCCTCAGAAACCAAGAGGAACAAATTTTCTCCTTCCTCCTTGTGACACCCTTTTAGATATTTGAAAACCGCTATCATGTCCCCCCTTAATCTTCTTTTTTCCAAACTAAACAAGCCCAGTTCATGAAGCCTGGCTTCATAGGTCATGTTCTCTAGACCTTTAATCATTCTTGTTGCTCTTCTCTGTACCCTTTCCAATTTCTCCACATCTTTCTTGAAATGTGGCGCCCAGAACTGGACACAGTACTCCAGCTGAGGCCTAACTAGTGCAGAGTAGAGCGGCAGAATGACTTCACGAGTTTTGCTTACAACACACCTGTTGATACAACCTAGAATCATATTTGCTTTTTTTGCAACAGCATCACACTGTTGACTCATATTCAACTTGTGGTCCACTATGACCCCTAGATCCCTTTCTGCCATGCTCCTTCCTAGACAGTCGCTTCCCATCTTGTATGTATGGAACTGATTGTTCCTTCCTAAGTGGAGCACTTTGCATTTCTCTTTATTAAACCTCATCCTGTTTACCTCTGACCATTTCTCTAACTTGCTAAGGTCATTTTGAATTATGTCCCTATCCTCCAAAGAAGTTGCAACCCCACCCAGTTTGGTATCATCTGCAAACTTAATAAGCGTACTCTCTATCCCAATATCTACATCATTGATGAAGATATTGAATAGTACGGGTCCCAAAACAGACCCTTGCGGAACTCCACTTGTTATCCCTTTCCAGCAGGATTTAGCACCGTTAACAACAACTCTCTGACTACGGTTATCCAGCCAATTATGCACCCACCTTATCGTGGCCCTATCTAAGTTATATTTGCCTAGTTTATCAATAAGAATATCATGCGAGACCGTATCAAATGCCTTACTAAAGTCTAGGTATATGACATCCACCGCTTCTCCCTTATCCACAAGGCTCGTTATCCTATCAAAGAAAGCTATCTGATTAGTTTGGCATGACTTGTTCTTCATAAACCCATGCTGGCTATTCCCTATCACTTTATTACCTTCCAAGTGTTTGCATATGATTTCCTTAATTACCTGCTCCATTATCTTCCCTGGGACAGACGTTAAACTGACCGGTCTGTAGTTTCCTGGGTTGTTCTTATTCCCCTTTTTATAGATGGGCACAATATTTGCCCTTTTCCAGTCTTCTGGAATCTCCCCTGTCTGCCATGATTTTTCAAAGATCATAGCTAAAGGCTCAGATACCTCCTCTATCAGCTCCTTGAGTATCCTGGGATGCATTTCATCAGGACCTGGTGACTTGCTGACATCTAACTTTCCTAAGTGATTTTTAACTTGTTCTCTGTGTATCCTATCTTCTAAACTTACCCTCTCTCTGCTTACATTCACTACGTTAGGCACACCTCCAGACTTCTCGGTGAAGACCGAAACAAAGAAGTCATTGAGTCATTTGGAAAGAAGCAGCGTGGTGTGCCCTGATGAAGTCACTTCCAATCCATTAGGAATGAAGGAGAGGCCGAGAGAGCATTTATAGTCAAACTTAGTACATGTCATCACTCGTCACACCAGAGGTCGACATTCTGGCGTTCAGCTGAATAGATATATTATAGACACATACTCCAAATGCTGAGGGCAGCTCCAGCCAGTGCCTGTACTCACAGTCACAAGGAAAATGGGAAGTTGATGGGAGTTTTT